ACACAAAACATGGGATACATAAGCCCATTCCCACATCATGATGATATGAATGGCCTGAACAAGAACAAGTCATTAGAACTACCCCAAATTGGGGGCTCCAAGACTTGAGAAATATCAAAAATGCGCATAACCCGACAAAAAGGGGCTCCAATATCCACAATAAACAAAATGAGATATTCATGCCATTCAAGCTACTTTCGAGAATCGCCTAAACTATAAATAGTTTACGTAGATCTTGAGCCCACAATTTTCAAATGCATCACAATGACTCAATATCATTATGTTCATTTGAAAACTAAGTTTGCAACTGAACTTGGCCATAGAACAAACTACAAACATATCACATAATCAAGCCATTTTCAAGTTCAACTTCAATAACTAATCTTAGTGCATAGTTGTTGTTTCAATACTTCAATTTACTCTAAAGATTAGAGAGTATGACTAGTATAGAGCGAAAGAAACCAAATCATGAGTATCAAAATAGAATTCAAACGCATACAACATGCCTGCTCATTCGAAAGTTTAATACTCAATCGTTCATCATGAAAATTGTATCAAGACGCTTCAATAACATAAGACAAACAATTTCATGAAGAAAAAAAAAGAAAAGAGAGAGAGAGAGATAGAGAGAGAGAGAGAGAGAGAGAGAGAGAGAGACTCTAAGTTCAAAATTAAAGGGTCTTCATTTTAAATTCTCTATCGTTGCGCGAATGACAAAATTGAAAACATTGGAATTTCGCAAAGAGGATGATATCTATTTTCTCGAGCTTCAATCGATAACAAAATTTGAGCTCAAAGGAAAGAATTCAAAAGTAACAAGAATAGAGGAAAAAGTTAAACAACATTTCATTTTCCCTCTTACTTGTTCTAACGAACAACCAATATTACTAAACTTAATTAGCAAATTTCCTTTGTTAAAACTATGAATGGTCAAAAACGATTTAAACACGCTCGCTTAATTGTTTCCAAGATCCTAGTTGTTATCATAATGAGACGAAACACGGGATTTCTAGACCTATTTCAAGCAACATGAAAGGGTCTAATTCTTAAAAACAAACAAGTCATCGAAGCCACCCAATATTGGGGGTTATGACACTCGAAAATATAAAATGGGGGCTCAAAAGCCCGAAAATATAGCCAAACTACACCAGTTCGATGATGTCTTCAAGAATTTCCTAAACTAACTAGTTTTATGAAAATCTTGAAATCATAGTTTTATAAATGAATAATAATAACTATTGATTATTGTTATCATTGATAAAACCAATTTTGCAACTTAAGCATGAGTAAAATAAACATGAGTTGCATGAAAAATTTCATGCCATTATCAAAGTTCAAAATTTCGATCCTAATTTTAATGCATAATTGTTGTTCTAAGCACTTCAATTTACATTTAAATTAACAAGTACAGTCCATCTGAGAAAAAAAGAAATAGATTCAAGCACAGTTCAAAAATCAAATGAAGAAAAAAACACATATATGCTTGTACATGACTCAATACTTGACCACTTCACATGAAATTTGGTGCAATATATTCCTTAAACATGTCACAACGACATAGAACTAACAAATTCATAAAAACAAGTCGAATCGAATACCCCCAATTTCAAAAATTAGGGTTCTTCTTTCGATTTTCCCCACTTTGTTGACCAAATTCTAAATTTGGTACAACGAACAAGGAGCAAGATTTACTTTCCTTAGCTTCAAACGATAGCGAAAAAGGAGCTCTAGGGAAAGAGATCGAAAATGGCGAATGACGAAGAAGAACACGAGCCGCGGATCATGTTTCTTTAGAATTGTTCGTTGTTTAAGTTCTGCGCGCAACTCAAAAAATTGCGCGAGACAACTGCACACAACTTCTAATATTGCACGCGACACCCTAGCGCAACCCCCAAAGTTGCGCGCGGATACTAGTCAGTCAAAATGACCATTTTCTTGGTTTTTATTTTCTCTTCCAAACCAAACGTTTTAGCTCGTTGAATTCGCACCTTGACTGGCTTTCTCGCAAAATTTTTAAAACCTTCAAAAACCTTTTATTGTTTTGCATCCTGTAGTTTCTTTTCTTCTTTGATAGTTTTTTGCATCATCCTACATGCACATCGTGCTTTGTGCCTGCCCCAAGCATACGTTTTGGATGTTTTTCGTGAAGCGTGTTAAAATATCCCGTAGTGGTGCTTTACGTAAGAGCTCCCTTAGACAGTTTGGCATTTTCTTGTACTGCCCTTTTAGAAATGTCACGTTTTTCATATTTTTGGCGTCCATAACAAAAATACCGCGTATCGTATAGTGTAAAATTGTACGGTGTATGTGCTGCGTAAAATTGCACTAGCAATGTGATCTGCCTCCCGTCAAAAACGGCAGAACTTCTGTTTCTTTTAAGGCGTTAGCTTAAACGAGTCAATGAGCGCGCCGAACCACATCAGGTCAGACGCCCCCCGTTGGAAGCAAATACGGTTAGCTAGGAAGCAATCTAACTTTACCGGACACTTAGGGTGTTCGTCCACCCCCTGTATAAAGAGCGGTCCCTACTGAAGCCGCACCCATTTAGACACGTGCCCCCAATCCTGAGATGCGTGTTTTCATCTTGTGGAAAAAACTGCTGAGAGAGTTGCCAATTTTCTTCTCTCTCACTAGATTTGGATATGTGCCTCCAGTCCTGAGACATATCTTGTGGACATCGAGTATTTGTTATGGCAGCGTATGTTAATCTTTTATTCAAGTGTTAGGCTACGAATGCCGAAGCACCCCGATTTTATCATCTTTACTTTGTTAAAATCATGGACTAGAGTTCCGATGACAAATCGAGGGACTTTAGACCGTTGATGGCATATTGAGAGGGTATCATCCCCTTTTAATCTTTTTAAACCCGGTACCTTCTCATAACATGACATCACCCAAAACAGCCTTTACTTGTAAAAGAATTCTATGCTAGCAAAGGGTCAATCTACATTCTTTAGCGCACTAAAACCAGAAAAAACCTTTTCTGGTCTTAGCAGCTACTTGTCTTGAACACTTAGCGAATCGAGAATAGTTTTGACATTCTCAACACTACTGAAAGATTCCTTATCCCTAAGGAACTTCGCAAAATGAGTCTCAGATTCATTCCCTTGGCTACTTTGATCATCGTCTATTCTAGACTCGATCAAGCGGGGGCTAACTGTAGAAATCTACTTTTGGTACCCTGTCCCGACCGGAAGTGCTGTGACGATAAATAATTCCATCTTTGTGCTAGATTGGAGTAAGGAATGCTTATGGACTACTGATTAAGGCCTAAACACATAAAACCAATTAGCTTGATCCAAACGAAATGAACCAAAGGTTGTTAATACAAAGCCCGATTAGAAATTAGGCCTAATCCCGAGATTAAACCTAATTTTTACGGATTTAGAAGCGCCTAGGTTAATATCTAGGGCTACCGCAGGAAAAACCGCGCGCAACTCACAAAGTTGCGCGTAGCACCCAACGCAACCTCCAGAGATGCGCTTGCGAAAGATTAAGAATTTCATAAATATACAGTATCGAATCTTACCATAAAGCCACGCGCAAGACCAGAGGTTGCGCTGCCTAGTGCAGCGCGACTAAATCACTTGCGCGTACCAACCGCACGCAACCTGTTGGATTGCGCGCGCCACCTGCTACGGCAGAATGTCCGAAACCCTAAACTTACCCATTCCCTATAAATTGAGGTTCAATACGAGCTTTGAACACGCAGAAAAATTAGCCTAAAAAGTCAACAGTAAAACTTGTGAACTTATGCAATAATCATCCCTCTTGTCCTAAACACTCGCCCTTTAATTGTTTAGTTCTTATGGTGGAGGTTCCCGAACAAGGAGTTCATAAGTGTTCTAAACGAAAATCTAGCAAGGAAAAGTGGTAAATTCCCGAGCACTTAGATAAATTACCTTTCTTTTCTTGCTTAAACAACTTTTAATTAATTAATTAGTGTTGTTTGATCACCTTAAATAAACTTTAATTAACTAACTTCACATAGTATTCTTGCGTTAATCAAGACTAGAATTTGAATAATTAATTGATTGTTTTATCACCTAAGCCAAGGCGAATATTGTTTATTTCTTTCTCTTTTCACGAATTTGAATAACAAAGAATAACGACATTCGTTGCAATGTAATCTTTATGTGATCAATGCTTGTAAATAAAATCAACTAACTTAGTTTTAGGTATCACGTTGCATATATTGTTTGGTGATGAAATTGTGAAAAAGGAAGAGCTAGTAGAGGCCGCACTTGGGCTAGAATAGCAATTCCTCCCTAAAAGGAATGTTATGTTAGTACCCTCGCTCCCAAACTCATTTCTGGTACAAGTAGACCAATTTGGACATGGGTAAACTTATGATTCATGCTAAATATCCCTTGAACCCTACTTGGGAAAAAGGCATGAACGAGGTTTATGGGTTTTCCTATAACTCATTGGCAACTCCTTACTAGTTTCTTACAAAAAAGTATAATGATAGAATCAATTCTAATTCAATTCAAGATCTCCCAAACAGTCAGGAATTCAAATCCTAACACACCTTCAAAAGTGTAAAGTTCTATGCTTTTAAAGGGTCTGGGCATAGAGGAAGTCGGATCCCCAACAACGGGCTACCCTCCTCACACTTAGCATGAGCATCAAAAGAGATAATTTGCTAAGCAAAATTTAATTAAACAAAGCAATTCAACAACAATATCAAACTAATTTTATGCACTTAAACTGTATAAGTTTGTGTCCTACCGTGTCAAGAAAAAATTAGAATTCATATGCAAATGTAGTATTCTCTCCGTCTTTTATTAGTTGTTCGAAGGATTTGTTTTAACGTGTATTTTTCAAAGAGCTTTTATGATTAATCTCCAATACATGATCAAGGATGCCGCATGGCTTGGGGTGAATGATCACGGAGAAAGAATGTATTTCCTTATACATTGTCGCAAAAGAAAAGTGTAATAAGCCTCATTTTGTCGAGAAAAGAACACTTTCATTATGAGATAAAAGGAAGATTGAAGAGGAGTACCAATTAGTCACAGCATACTGAATATAGGCACCAAAAATTTTAAATAACCAATGGCCATAACAATAAGACCAAACGATAGAAGTTCATATCAAGTATACAAATTGAAATTAGAGTGCTGCATATAAATTACGTGATTAAGCGCTACAAAATAATTTATCATTTACTGTACATGAGAAGAGACGTGGTTTCAAGTGTCAAAAAATATTTCGCTTCATAATTATCTCTAAATTCAGTGTCAATGCTGCACCTTCTTGCACCGTGTTAAGCCAGAAGGGGCTCTGTTATTGGCTTTGGAGGAGTTTCAAGTTTCATACTATATGTTACTGCCACACCAATAAGAGCACAAATCGCGGGAACAATACCTACTGCATACCGTGTAACTGAGAAGCTATGTACAGACGAATGAAGCTCTCCGACATTTGAGGAGACATCTGTAGATAGACCAAGAATATTACTTTTAAGCTTTCAGACATCAGTAAATGCATGCACCAAAGGAGAGTAAATAGTATATATACTGGATATATAAACAACTTACTACTATGATATGATTCCAAAACGTATAACACAATTCCACAACCCATTTTGTCCATAAAACTCAGTGATCCATAGACAAAAGCACTTCCATTAAGATCTTGTCCAACAAGAACACTCTGCATGCCTATTCCAGTGACCTGCAACCAAATTCCAAAAGTAAAAGATATTATTAAGGTAATCATGGGCGATAACATAAGACAGATAACTTAACATCCATAAGATATACTTCGTAGCACACAAAAAATTCTCAAACAAACAATAACCCTTCTTTTATTTCCTTTCTCTAAAACACGATTATGTTAGTGTTAAATGATTCTTCTACAATTCAGAACCGAGTACCATTGCGAAAATACAAAAAGTTCTTATACGGTCCAAGCTTCGAGAGGACTTGAAATGATGGGTGAGCTCACAATGATTACAATATTCACTTATATCCAAGTCATCCTGAGTAATTCATCTTTTTAAGTTCTAACATATACTGAATACAAAGTTACACATTCCCCCCACCTTCGTGACTTGTAAAGTTGTACACCAAAAACATATAAGCACTAATTGTGGAAATAGGATTCAAGACATACCATCATTAGGGCATTTGCAATGCCAATAATCACAGAGATGATATACATTAAACCACTCAAGCCCAGAGGCAGAAACAAAACTGCTACACCGCAAAATATCCAAAGAACGCTTCCAATAGAAAAGAACGTCTTCAGACGGTAGCCATTCCATGACATCTCCTATAAAGGACATATTACTCTCCAAGAACTTAGTAGCAATATAATTAAGAAAATACAATATGAGGTACAGACGGAACCTGTAGAATAATGGAGATGATAAAACTGCAAATGTATATGATAGCAGGCACCTACACGTTGTAAAGTTTAACCAATTACATGAGTTTGTGTATAAGTGTATAACAGGGGAGAAAAATTTAAATAAATAAATAAATAAATAAATAAAAAATAAAAAATAAAAAAAGAAAAAGAAAGAAAGAAACAGTGCCATATTAAGGTGTAACTAAATATTTACCAGAGCTTTTGAAGATTGAGCCATTTGTAGGTCATTGATGACGTAAAAGGCCAGAAATGACTGACAGACACATAAAAACACAAAATCAGAGCCATACAATAGACAACTGACTCCTTTCGGAGGAAAATTACCAGGAAAGTCCTTACAAGGCACCAATTCCATAAAGATAAACTTCATATCTCACAAAAAAAAAATGGAGATTCCTACTCACCTGTGAGACATTAGTCACCAGTCTAGTCAGTACATATACAAGAGCAACCTGGTAGTACAGAACTTTATGGAACCAATAAGTCCATTCAACTCTAGCATAAACTTTTCCTGGAAAGCCATCTTTCAACCTACAGAGAGCGGAAAAAAAATAAATAAATAAATAAATAAGCGTAAAAGGTAAAGGGGGGAAGCATTGATCAAAGAGGGTATACATAAACATAGTAGACTGAATTTCTGTAGTGTAAAAATAAAATAGCACCATACTGATCCTTCAGGCTTAGGAGTTAGGACTCTAATTATCTAAGAAATTATAATGAATATTTTGATAAGTTGAAAATCTCAACATACGGAGCCTATGAGTTTGGCCAATGAATAAAGCATCATACTCAGGCAAAGATTAATCCTCAATACACAGAACCAGGACTAATAAATACACACCTGGGCTCTTTAGTTCCAACGAGGAAGATACAGACAAAGCAGCATCCGATAAAAATTGATGAATAAGCAATCCAACGATACTGTGAAAGGAAGATGGTCAGCAAGATATTCTTAAAAGATGCACCAGTTAAAAGAAAAATAATGCTTGCATAGGAGTACCTGGCTTTCGATCTCATCATGGGTCCTTGATTTACCAAGACCAAAGACAACAAAAGCCACAGCATACAAGCTTAGATTTGCAATCTGAATATGAATATTGGAGCCAAAAAAAAAATAAGATCGAGAAGACAAAGCAGAGCATGCATGCTTCAAAAAAAAAAAAAAACTACTCTGGATAAGAGCTTCACCATAGTAAATGCATTCCGACAGCTGGCTAACACAACTCTGCTCGTCGGATTCAGCGTCATACAGTTCACCATAGACCTTTCATGAATAAAAGAAACACTAAGATGTATCTGTTTGGAAACAAGCGATACTACCATTTAAAAATATTTCTAAATTTGATGCACAAAGAGTATTTAAATTTACATGTGTGACACTTGAGTGGCGGCCCAACCAATATTGAAGATAGCCGCAAAAATGCTGTACCCAATTGTCTCCAAAGCAGATGAGTCTGTACCAAATATTTTGCATGGTATACAACCACCAAAAACAGAAGAAAATGAAACAGCAACTAACAGAGATCCAGCGCCATGCCAAATTTTGAAGCGTCCAAACCGGTCTATCTAGCAAACAGAAACAAAAAAAATACAAAAAACGAGTTCACTAATGGTACAAGTCAGCAAGTAATTCAATTGAAAACTAGCTTTCAGATAAAACACACAGCAAATTCAGGATCAACCGAAGGAAATGTTCTTCGATCAAGCATGCAATCACTAAATATATTTAATTTGCATAAGAGAAATATTAATTCCATCATTTTAGGTGGTCTTAATACTGTGCTAGAGGCCAACTAAGATCTATGAGCTAATATCATTGAGCTCATTAACAATTATGATTGAATCCTATAGGCCACACATCAACTATGAGTTTGGATAAAAGATACACCATTGCCCACATAAGCATTGGTGTGGCCGACCAGGCGACCACTATAGGCCAAAAAGGATAATAAGATTTTCCTCTTGTTGCCTAACTATGCTTTATAATTTACATATGTATTATGTATAAGATACACGATACACAAGAAAAACTTAGGCCAAATTAACCTATCTAGCCAACGCCCTTCAAGCAAAAGTAAGAGAGTGATTTGATCCTCCTTTTCTAATAAACGTTAAGATCTGCACTCATACTCATGGAATAAATAGAAGAGCTACATTTGAAGCTCTTGATCTCTAAAGGAGAATAATACAAAGTTAGAAGAAAGCACACATCAAAGGTTGTAATTCTATACTCATTATGCGATTCGTGTTATTAATATGCATATGATCCTAAGTAAATGCTAGGAAATGGTTTCCCACAGTTCCACTTATCGCATCTAAAACCCTAAATCAAGTTATGTCATGATTTATCACCACCAACCTCATTAAGATCCTCACCAAAAAACATTTTCAAAGAAAAACTTGACACATGTTATGAGACAGAACTAAGAAATGAACATCACAAATGAAAGCTGCAAAACTGTATACGTTTACAGTATAAAACTTGACAATTGTTTGCTTTCGATTGACAAGTACTATGTTCACCCACCTTCCATGCGATAAAAGAAATATTAAAATAACAGGAAACACTTGAATGCTATTGGTTAGGGCTGTTGAGTAGCCTACACTAAAATGATGATTTTATATGAACCTATTCTTTATTTGGCTGCACCAATAATTTTCTTACATAACACTAGTTTAAGCACATTTTCCACCTCCTGAATCCCCAACCATGCATATTGAAGTTATTCCATCATCACTTCCTTTCGCCACCCAATTTCATAATTATTTAAGCCCTCTATAATCAATGCCAGCCACTTCACATTGTAACAGGAATTAAAGAGGAGAAGTACATACTTCAAAAAAGGCATCAAATTCAAAAAAAGGCATCAAATCCTCCCATTATTCAACGTCCTCCCCTCAATTCCATTCATTCCTAGAATGTAGACTGTATATGTCAACAAAGACCTCTACAGCCTTCTCTCTGTGTGCTCCCAAATTCACTATTTAAATAGCAGAATGTAGGCAACACAGGCCGACAGTGTGCGTTGCTTCCTGTCATCAGGACCAGAACTATATCGCAAAGAATCAAAGTTTATTTTGAACTTTACGACAGGTGACACTTTCTAGTAAAAGAAAGGTGTAATGAGAATAATAGCTACATGTTGAACATGTGGCTTCGTTTTCCTTCATCCTAGCATTTTTTTTACACAAAAATAATTATGAAATGACTGTAAACTAGTCCTCAAATTCTCATCTAGTCCAGCATCATAGCAAGTACTACTATCTAAATCTTTTAACCCAACTGCTGTCTACAATAATACAATCAGGTTAACCAATTCACTTCTGCCTCTGCCAAAATATAAGATCAACTAATAAGCTAATACAAATACTAAAAGAATCTATGTCAAAAAAAGGCATATATGATGACTAAAGCAGCTTAAAGCTGTAAAATAAGTTTATACGATACCAGTTCACCAGAAAATGCAGTCATGAATCCATCTGCCACTTGTCCACTAAGCATTACAATTGCAGCATTCCTGTCAACATACAGAAGTTATAATTGACATACATGGATCATATACAAATGTGAAACTTAGTACACAACCAAATGGGTAGCTATAGATAAAGACATAAAATAATCAACTAAAACCATTGATGCACAAAGACTTCCTAAGAACAAGCACTTCATATGCATCTTGTCTTAGACATATGGAAATAAATCAAAACAATATGAAAATTAGAACAACAATAAATCCAAACATCTAAGCAAATCCAATAGTAGAGGGAGCAATTAGCATGACTTTTTAGCTGTAAGGCATATGAAAGATTAGAATAGTACTGTGTATTCATTAACACCACAATGAAGGGTATCATCCATTTTCAACAAAGTTGAAAAAACCAACATTTTGAAAACTATGTTACAGCTTGTAACTCATAGTTCAAAACAAACGTCCACTATTTATAGTGGCCTCCCCTTCTCCATATCTGCAAAACAGCAGGGCTACCAGCTGCCTTATCAAACAAAGCTTTACTGCCAATAGCATCTGAGAAATCGCATGAATAAAACCACCTATATAATATCTCCTCTACTTTGTCCTAGAGCCTCATCCATTACGACCAATATGTCATCCTTCAGAAGAGCTCATCACTTGGAAAAACAGGGAAAAAATCTTAATTCATGCCTCATAATTCCATAAAATAGTCACAAATAACTTTAAGAAATCTAATAACATCAGTAAATCAATGAAATAAGATTTCATCCGTACTTATGCTACTTTGTAACTTCTAAGCTATTCTTCCACAATAGTATAAACCTTAAATGATGAAAACAACACCAATCTATAAATGGACCCTCTTCCTTGCCCTTTGATATAAAAACCCTTTTTAAAAGAAAGTAAACAAATGAAACAATAAGCAATACATAGAAGCATACCCTGGTGAAAGTCCAATATCTGTCAGGAAGACCAACAAATAAGTAAACCAACAGGCAGATGTAATGTCATTGAGCATGTGGCCAACACCATAGACGAAAACAGGCCACCGTCCAAGCGGCCTGTTGTAATATTCTTCATCTTCCACATCACCAATCATACTTTCGTGAGTAAAAGTTCACGTAGGACTTCAAATGCCTGTCAAAATGCAACATTTCAGCACAATCATCATAACTAAAGCAACCAAGCAGGGTGCATGTTGCACTACGAGCACAATTCTAATTACTAGATGCTGTTATTTCTCATTGACAGATTCCATTAAATCATCATTGCATTATTTTCCATTGCAACATCCTACGCATAATAATCAAATGCAGTTGTCTACTGTTTCATCAAGGAATTGGCAAATATATTATGAACAACTCAAGCTCATATGAAAAACTCCAGCTATCAAAATTGGTAGACAAATTTACAAAAGATAAAAAAAAAAATAAAAAAGGACTAACATCCTAATTAAACTTGTATCAGCAACTGAATTTCAATATTTGTTCGAATCTAAGACTAAATAATAATAATTCATTGTAAAAGTTAGGTTATGTTTTTCAAAATTACAAAACCTCAACAGATAAGAAGTTAACCAATACTCGGAAATATGAAATTCTAGTTTAAATCGGTAGTGCCTTGCTTACCCGCCATAACTTGTTCAAAATTACAATGGATTCTTCTTCAATTTCTCATATTGTTCATCAACAAGTACATAACATAATAATAAAACTTCATTGTTCTGTGTACAACTGCATATATTTAAACATCATAGGCTCGAGACGGGATTTGATCTCCAGTCTTGGTTAACTAACTAAACTAACTACACTAACTAATCAAATTAAACTCAAACACAATAATATATAAATAAATGGTTTCTTGTATAAAAAAAAAATAGACAATAAAATTAGGAAAATAAAGGGGTGCAAAATGCAGAGTAAAGAAACAAACTTTGATAAGAAGTTGCAATTCTTCAAGTACAGAATCCAAGAGTACAAATTAGATACATTAATTACTGCCCCTTTAAAAAAAAATCAAGGAAAAAGCAACGGAAATAGCTAGGGAAGAAAAATAAATGTGAGGTAGTCGAAGAAGAAGCAAAAGAAAAAAGAAAAAAAGAAAGGATGAAATCGACGCTTTAGATAGTTCCAACATTGAGTCATGGGAATGAGTTACGTAAAAGATCAGAAAGCATAAAAGGGTTGCGACAAATGGTGTTACCCTTGAAAATTGTGGACTGCAATATTAGGAAATTAATTTATCCAACGAAACAAATGGGACCAATCCTACCAGAAAACAAATGGTGTTACTCTCAATGAAACTAAAATTAAATAAAAAGAAATTGTAATGAAATTGGAGAAAACAGACCTTATGACAATTGAAGAATTACGCAAAATAGGCCGACGTCGGAAAATCCGTCGCCGGAAAAGTGAGCACAGAAAGTGGAGATGATGAAATGGGAAAGAAATGAAAGAGTAGTAAAGTTTAAGGAATGAAGGGATTGCGTGGTTTGTGGATGACGAAGACGACGGTGACTTTTTGACAGTTTAAGGGTGTGCACTTGTTCGGCAACATTAACCAATAAGAAACCTAAAGATTCCAATTTTCCTACTTTTAAATATCTTCTTTAGTGTAATAGATTCAATAACACTTGCCAATTTTAATTTTTTCTCTTTTTACTTTTGGCCTTGTTTGGTAAGAAGGGTTTTTTATTGGCAAATATAATAAAAAAGCATTTAACTAATTTAAAGGGTTGACTTTATAAATTTACCATTTTGGCTCTATGGTAAGGAGTTAACTCAATAAGGGGGTGTTTGGTTCAAGTAACTTTTATGAGCCTATGAGATATGAGTTTAGGGTTTAAATTAAGAAAAACTCAAATCTAATACATTATTTGTTTGAGAAAATTTTAATGTTTAGAAAGTTCATATTTTATTTTTGGAAATTCAATAAAGTGGGCATTCATTCCATTAATTATAGAAATCCAAGGATGGGTGAGTATGGCTTATACCATATATTTAGTTGTTATTTAAAAGAACATATTCATTACCAATCAAACATGTGGTATTATGAATCAAGTTGTAATCTTACACTACCTGATTTCATACTTGAATCTTGAATTTTAATTTTTTTTTTTTTTTTTTTTTTTTGAAAAGGTACTAGATTACAAACCCATATCACTCTCAAACCATACTAAGGTGGTATTAAGGGGTCGTTTGGTTCGCTAAATTGGAATAGATTGGTATGAAATCTCATAGTAGAGAGGTATGGATTTGCTAACCAAACAACAAAATGGATGGAATGGATTTTAACTCCATTCCAAAAACTCCAACCAAACGACCCCTTAAGTAAGTGAAAAAATGTGTAGAAAATAGACAATATGAGGTAGAAGTGATCATGATGAGTCCGACCTGTTAGCCTGTCCAAATTTATCACGGACTTTGGGTAGAAAGTTTCGGCCCAAATCAAATTATTTTAATTTTCTTTGGGCAAGCATATTTGCACAATTTTTGTTATAATTTTTGGCGGGTTCAAAAAAGTCTGCCAAAAGCAGTTCATTTTTGCGGGTTTTGAGCAAACAAATTTGGCCTAAACCTTGGCATGAACTGGCTCGACCCAAGTAAGCGACTTGATATTTTTGCCTTCGGCATGACTCGACCCATGATCACCTTTAATTTGCGGGTCATCTTAATTGATCATTACCATTGTCTTATGATTGGTTACCAAATAGGTCTTTTGTTCTAAAATTACTAAAATTTATATCATTATTAACCCAATTTATTATCCTAGCTATTTTAATACTACCTCTGTATGAAGTTAAATATCACATTAATCAATTTAAAAATTCAACAATCTATATCTACCTATAATGTTATTAAACTCAAAGAGACGACATACTATTGTGGGATGTCAGTGGGGCGGGTCAAGTATGAGACCCGCCCCAGTGGGGCGGGAATGGGTCCCGGTTTGGCGGGTGGTGGGACGGGGATAGAGATAAAAACCATACCCTCTATGGGTGATGTAATCCGCCCTTAGGCGGGTCTTAGGTGAGGATAGATATCCAAGTGGAGGGTGGGGCAAAAATGGTTTTGGGATTGTACCCGCCGGGGGGGTGGGGATGAATTTTAGACCCGCCGCGGGGATGGGGATGAAAATGTTGGGGATGGGAAAACTAACATCCGCCCCGCCCCATTGACATCCCTATATATTGTCATGTGTCATCATTCCACTATGACTTGGCGTCACATAAGTAATGACATGTCAAATCCATAAAATCTTTTATTTTAAACATAAATACAATATTTTTAAAACTCAAAGGAACAACATGATGTTGCCATGTATTATCTTTCCTTCACCATGATTTGGGCTGTATAATAAATGACATGGCAAGTACATATAACCTTTCATTTAAAAAATAAGTAGCTTACCATCTAATTTAAAATTCTAAGCTCTATTATTATTGTGTTTATTAAACACCCTAATAATAACTACCTTACTATATTTAGCAATAATTAACTATATGCACCAATACTTCGTCATTATTTCCGGTTACATGTATTACATGTTATTTCTTATTATTGTTTTTTAACTGACCATATACGAATTATCTACTACCTTCGTTTTATATTTTTTGCAATTTTGGGGTATTATTTGTGAGATATAAAATATTCCAAAGTTGCAAAAAATATGAAACGGAGGTAGTACATCTTTAGAGTTTGATTCATGTGATTGCTTGAATTTGTTAATGTTATAGTATTAAGCTAGATTAGTCTCGTGCGATGCACGATTTTGAGTTTTGACAAATAAATTAATTATTGGACTAAATTTGGATATTAATTAATATACTAAATTTTCAAATTATATATAAAAAATGAATAGTGAAATAGATGACCAAAAATTTTAACTAAAAATAATAAAGCGATGACATCACATATATTTTAGGCGGGAAAATTTTCTACCACAACTTAACATGTGTATAGTTAGGAAAAGTGATGATGTTGGCGGTTGTTATATTAGTAACAGTTATAGACTACTTTATTTCCAACCCATTTAAAATAAAATTCCTAGAACATCGTACATATTAATTTCTATTATGTTCAATTTATTAACCTATACTAAAAGCAAATTCTTCCATGACACTTGTCATTACCTTGTGAAAAAATTTCCCGCCTTTTTCGCTTCTCTCTCTCATTTTTTTTTTTTTTTTTTTTTTTTTTTTGCAAAATCTTTAAATAAACTATTTATACCTTATGTATTTTCTTTCAATTCGACAATCATATTCCATATATACCCAAATGAAATATTTCTGAATTTCATTTTTATATACTTTATGTTTTGTAATATTATTGTCAAAAATATTTAACAACCTTACATTACATGAGATTTTAACCTAGTGTTAGACTAATGAAAAATGACAGGTCAAAATGGTGAAATTAAAAAGTAATTATTGAATGATGTTTTATTTTAGGATAGAGGAAGTAAGTACGTAAAGCTTTTGTGAATATTTACGAAAATCATCAAAACAAAAAAAAAAAAACAGGTAATCCGTACAATATAAAGATGATGTATGCAACCTTAAATGGTGCTCTCTTCGTTTCGTAATAATCGCAATACTTTCCTATTACGTCTGTTTCATAATAATTGCAATACTTACTTATTTGATAAGAACCCACTACTATCAATCAATAACATAATACTAAAACAGAGACTAGGAATGACACGTGTCACTTGCTGGTGCTGTTTTTTCCCTCCAAAATTCCCTCTCCCTTTTTAGCAAAAATCTTTTATTTTTAGAATATTTGGATAATACAACTATAATAATATATTGTTTCTAATCTTATACTTCGTATATTATCTTTATAATAATTATTGTATTCCTTTTTATTTTGTATTCTATTTACTTAAAATAGTTACACAAGATTTTGAGACCTTTTAATTAAGGAAGAATAAGGTACAATTTAGAAGGTTGAAATATGATGGAGACTTTAAAATAACGTGGCCATAAATACAATATTAACATTTAAATTACCATTATATAGTTGTACAATAGTGGGGTTCAATAGGGAAAAAAAATCTATTTTTATTCATGGTGTTGATTTGAAATCTTATGAATTAATAACAATTGAGTGAGTTTTCTGTTAAATATTTATGTAATAATTTTACCAACTTATAACATTTTTTTCTCTTAAAAAATCTATTAACTATTACTAAAACAGGTCATGCTTACATCAACATTTTGGACATATGTCTAGCTATCATTAAATAATTTCCTGCTATAAAATATATGATGTCAGCTTTAAATTTTTTTAACAAAAAATATTCTACTTAGCTTATTTTTTGGAAGTACATTGTATAGTATTTTTTTTTTTGGTGACTAAATTAATTCATTTATAAAAGTCATATGACATCTACATTGTATAGTTTTATTGGGAATAACATGCATCATTCATTTAATATAATAATGTACGCTATTTTAATGAAAATTAGATAATACACCCGGGTGCACCATGCTCATGTTGCACCCGGGTAAACAAAAAAAGGCGGAAAGAACATATAGTGTTTGATAAAGAACATACCTATGTTTGACAAAGAACATACCTTTAATATGTTATTTGAGTGTGATCAGTGTGTTCTTTGAGTAAAATTATATGTTCTTTACATTATAACTTATGTTATTTTAACATATGTTGATAAACATATTTTTTTTTGGGTTTAATAATACAAAGTATGTTCTTTGAATTTGGCGTGTATGTTCTTTAAGGTCGTAGTGACGCTCAAATTCTATTTTTTATTATCATGTCATATTTAAATTACTTTTATTATCGCACATTCTTTGAGTTTGATTAGTGTGTTATTTAGGTATTAACTATATGTACTTTACAATATAAATTATGTTTTTTTTAACATTTGGTATTTTGAAATTTGATATTGAAATCTTAAATTATTTTTAATTGAAAATAATGTTAGAGTAAAAAAAACTAAATTATTATGGGAAGTTGAATTTTTTTTTGGAGAGATAGAAAACTATTTTTTGGGGAAATGATATCTTTGGTAAGGATTTTTTAAGAGGTGATCAACATTGGCATGACTCACATCCCGACCCGATCCGACCCGAAATAGGGTGGGTTGGGCAAACCTAAAAATGTATTTTTAGTTAAAACTCGATCCGGGTTCGAAAAAAGCCCGAAAACCCGCTACTTTTCTACGGGTTTGAGCACGAGAAATTATGATATGGCCCGGCCCTACTCGATTATTTATCACTTCTAAATTTTTCCCGTTAATAATGTGTAATTTTTCAGAAAATTTTATCAAGCTTTTATCTCGTTCTTTTTATTATATCTTTATGTTCTTTGGTAATGCATGTTTTTGTCAAATACAACCATGTTCTTTGTCAAATACATGTATGTTCTTTATGAAACACAGGATATTCTTTCCGCCTTTTTTTTATTTATCCGGTTGTATGATGAGCACTGTACACCCGTGTGTATAAACCACAGATTACTATTTTAAAATATTTTCAACACAACTAATCAATTTTTTTTTCTCAAATTTAGTTTTAATAATTTTTTCCTTATTATTTCATTTTTCTT